ACTTATCTATCTCTTTAATTATGAGAAAGAACTATATATTCTGGAATCATCATAATTCTGAACAATCATTATGACATATGCAGTATAATTAGAACTATGAATACATGGTGATAATTCGAAACTATCTACTTTGCAGCATCTTCTTCCTGCCACATATCTACCCAGTTTTTCTGAATCTGTTCCACCCCAAGAAAAGAACCATCCTTTTCTGCATCCAAACTTGCAGACAGTGCCCCATATGCAATCCCAACAGAGGAAGCTCCAAAAGTCAAAAAAGCAGTCATAAAGGCTAGCCACCGTGGTGCATCATACACTTGGTTTTCCCTAAGCACCCCAAAAATGTGCATGAACATCAACCCCAACCCCATTGGCACCCCCACACAGAACAAAATCCTACGTATTATCCTGTAAATAACTGTGCTGGGAAGCTCATCATCAGCATCCTCATCATCAATGTTTTTCCTTCTAATAGGCCTCTCATTGGAATCCTTTCCTACGGTTGGAGGAGTGGAAGAAAAGCCTTTGGCGCTAGCATAAGGCTTTAATGTGCAGAAGGGGTGGTTGAGCTTTTGTGTAGGGTAAGAAGCTGGGAAGTTTGGTCTGCATGGAGAAAGTTTTGAGAGAATGATAGAAGAGTTTGGTGCACAAATCAGAGTTTTCATGGCTTCTCTTGCTGTGTTTGGTTGTTCATCATGCTTGGAGTGAGATATTTTATTCACGTATATCTTATCCATAAAGTAAATGGTTGGTCATGAGCCTCATCATCTCTCTCATCATCGTTTGGGATATTTGTTATAATGCTACGGATATTTTAAATATATTTATTAAGTTTCACACATATCAGTTAAAATTTTTTACAGGGTCAACACATTAAAAGCAAATATTATGTCATAAACAATAATTAAATGAAAATGTAAACAACTTTTCCAATGAATTGAATTTTATTGTATTGATATTTGAAAATCAAAACCATGATGTTGTGAAGATAAGGAATCTTCATGTCACTGAGACTGAACAAAATAAATAGTAGAAAGTTCTTTATCGATGACCAGAACCAGAAGCCCTCCATGATGATCTTGATTGTGACTTAAGTGACTGCAGCAGATTGATTCTAATGCTGAAAATAAGAAAAATTGAAGCATGGTATCTGTCAATTGCTGTAAATTTATTTGGGGGAAGCAGAAATGAAGGAGGTAATATCAAAATTCAATGCAAATTTACTCACTTCTTTTGAACGTGTACATATTCATCAGTTTCATCCAATATGTCTTTCTTGTAAATGAAAAAANAATTGTGTAGTTATATGATGGTGGCTTTAAATTCTGATAGTGCGGTTGTTAATGATTTTATGTGATGTCATATGAAGATGTGTGTCGGTATATGCAGATAAGTACTTTTCGAAAATATTATTTTAAGTTGATGTTAATACTTATGTATGTTTATATGACTTGTTTCTATTAGCTCATCCTTGCATGTTTGTGGTTGTGGTTTCCACCTGCGATGATCGTACTTGTACGAGAGTAGATGTTGTTACAGATGTAGCTAAAGCGAAGTTGAGCGGTGAGATACATGGGAGAACTATGGGATTTTAATTTTTATATTAATAGTTTTGTAATAAGATTATATGAACACTTTATAATTACATTTGATTTATGAACTTTTCCAAATTCGATTATAATAAATAGAAGTTTTTATTTAAACTGTATTTGGAAATAGTACATAGTTAATTTTTAAAAGTTTTTGTAAATCCGTGACATCCCAAAATTTGGGGTCTTACATAAGGCAAATATAGCTAAACACTAATGTACGACCGAATACTACTGTGAGATCGAACACTATAATAACCAAATCACTAGAGCTAAACTGAACGCCTATAACTTAGACTGAACACTTTAGATCTTAGATCGAACACTAAAACATGACCGAAAGATCATTAACAAATAAGGTCCATAACCTAGGCCGAACACTAGGTCAAGACCGAAAACTATAACTAGACCGAACGCTATATTCTATCGAATGCTAATACAAGACCGAGCACTACTAAGACCGGACACTAGTATAAAACCGAGCACTACTAAGACCGAACGCTAGTACAAAACCGAACATTACTAAAACCGAACACTAGTACAAAACCGAGCACTACTAAGACTGAATGCTAGTACAAAACCGAGCACTACTAAGACCGAACACTAATACAAAATCGAGCACTATTGAATCTTTCTAATGGTACCTAAATCATATACCCATTTACACTTATCCAATGATACCTAAATCTTTTTAAGATCATTTCAAAGAATCCCAAACCAGAATTCACTCCAAATTCTGCATAATCCACAACTCAATGACCACAACATTTAACATCTCACACAAACAATACCGAACACACAAACATTCAATTTCTCACACATGCAAAACCATCAAACAACATTTTCATACATCATCAACCAATCAATTAAATTACTAGCTTCCCTTACCTCTTAACCGAACCGAACGACTTCTACCCTTCCAAAAATTTGCTCACACCTCCAAAAAATCCTAAGAACACCTATAGCTCACTGATTTGTGAGAAGAGACCAACCAAAGTACCAAAAATGAAGTTAGAAAGGGGGAGAGAAGGTTGATGAACACATGCAAACAACAATGCTTACTTGCATGTGCCAGAAATTCACGAGAATTAAAGGAACGGAACTTACCAACTCTAAACACTAAACCGATCGGTGAAAGAGAAAGCTCTTAACACCGTGATTGCTTAGGCACGATCTGATTGTTAAACAGATGAAGTGAGATTGAGGAAATCTAGAGAGAAGGAGGAGAAAAGAAGATAGTAGAAGTTTTGGAGAGATATAGCTGTATTAAGAGAATGGGACGAGACTTTTGAAACTTTCATTTATATATCATTTTTATTTTAATCTAAACTGTTTGGTCTCATCCTTTGCTTACACGTATATGTTCCAAACTTCTTTAAACCTCCCAGCTCTTACACATAAACTCCTTTGAGTTAGGATTAATCCATGTATTTTTTTAATTTATTAACTATTTTATTCTTTAATTTTACAAAATACATTCAAAAATCAAAATATATTATATTTTTAACTTTTCAAAATAATGAAATTATTTATACAAAATATGATTACAACTACAAAATTATTATGAATAACTTTCTAGAAAACTAATATTTTATATATTGTTTAGAAATAATAAATTTTCATTATTAGAAGCAAATATAAATTAATTTTCATTATTAGAAGCAAATATAAATTAATTTACATTTTTTAAAATGTGTACAAAATAATCATTATATTAATTTATGTGAAAACTACCTCTTTTTTATTATATAATAAAAAACCACCTTTGTGCAATAAATTATAATTATATCTCCTTAAGATTAAAACCATCCCCTTCATACAATAAGATATTTCTTGAGAAACATTTAACCCGTATAATATATATGATTATATTGATGTTTGGTTTCATATTCTCTGTCTCAATTCAAAAAAAAAATGATGATCTATCTGCTTTTGAAATAGAATATCATTAAAGTTTCCAAATTAGTTTATCAACTAGTTTCTTAATGTTGTATCTGCAAAACGGAGTACAACTATCATCAGATACATAACAAGCATGAGCTCTGTTATAAACACAGATAACAGATCTCATAACCTTTTGGCATTGGCTTGCAGACATGGAATTCATACATCAACATAAAATTAATTTACAGATTAATGTAAATCTTATCTTAGAAGGTGATTATTTACAGATGAATATAAATCCTATTTTAGAAGCTGATTTATGAAGGTTGAGTCAAATTATTGTAAGGCCAATACTACTAAATGCTATCACTTAGAAATTAGACTTCTCAAATATTTCACCGATCATAGTAGCAGCTACTGCAACATTCATGGTTCTGACTTCTAAGTACACAATTTAATGCATCTCATACAACATCATTAACCCCTCTGAAGACTTATCTATCTCTTTAATTATGAGAAAGAACTATATTTTCTGGAATCATCATAATTCTGAACAATCATTATGACATATGCAGTATAATTAGAACTATGAATACATGGTGATAATTCGAAACTATCTACTTTGCAGCATCTTCTTCCTGCCACATATCTACCCAGTTTTTCTGAATCTGTTCCACCCCAAGAAAAGAACCATCCTTTTCTGCATCCAAACTTGCAGACAGTGCCCCATATGCAATCCCAACAGAGGAAGCTCCAAAAGTCAAAAAAGCAGTCATAAAGGCTAGCCACCGTGGTGCATCATACACTTGGTTTTCCCTAAGCACCCCAAAAATGTGCATGAACATCAACCCCAACCCCATTGGCACCCCCACACAGAACAAAATCCTACGTATTATCCTGTAAATAACTGTGCTGGGAAGCTCATCATCAGCATCCTCATCATCAATGTTTTTCCTTCTAATAGGCCTCTCATTGGAATCCTTTCCTACGGTTGGAGGAGTGGAAGAAAAGCCTTTGGCGCTAGCATAAGGCTTTAATGTGCAGAAGGGGTGGTTGAGCTTTTGTGTAGGGTAAGAAGCTGGGAAGTTTGGTCTGCATGGAGAAAGTTTTGAGAGAATGATAGAAGAGTTTGGTGCACAAATCAGAGTTTTCATGGCTTCTCTTGCTGTGTTTGGTTGTTCATCATGCTTGGAGTGAGATATTTTATTCACGTATATCTTATCCATAAAGTAAATGGTTGGTCATGAGCCTCATCATCTCTCTCATCATCGTTTGGGATATTTGTTATAATGCTACGGATATTTTAAATATATTTATTAAGTTTCACACATATCAGTTAAAATTTTTTACAGGGTCAACACATTAAAAGCAAATATTATGTCATAAACAATAATTAAATGAAAATGTAAACAACTTTTCCAATGAATTGAATTTTATTGTATTGATATTTGAAAATCAAAACCATGATGTTGTGAAGATAAGGAATCTTCATGTCACTGAGACTGAACAAAATAAATAGTAGAAAGTTCTTTATCGATGACCAGAACCAGAAGCCCTCCATGATGATCTTGATTGTGACTTAAGTGACTGCAGCAGATTGATTCTAATGCTGAAAATAAGAAAAATTGAAGCATGGTATCTGTCAATTGCTGTAAATTTATTTGGGGGAAGCAGAAATGAAGGAGGTAATATCAAAATTCAATGCAAATTTACTCACTTCTTTTGAACGTGTACATATTCATCAGTTTCATCCAATATGTCTTTCTTGTAAATGAAAAAAGTAGATAGCAATCAGCATTGTAAAACATGATAAGTTTGATGTTTCAAACAATGATGAAACATTTCACTAAACTCCTATGAATCAAATTGGTTAGTTAATAGCTAAAAAGTTTAAGAAATTAAACGGCAAAATCAACACTTTGAAGTGTATTCTGCATTATTGACAGTATATTATAAAACCCATTCTAACCTGTAACAGTTCCTCCATGACATCTTCCATTGTGATGATGCCAATAACCTCTTCATCTATAACATCTGGAAGAGAATCTATTTGTTCCTGTGAGAAATATTCATTTTCTTGACTCGCTTCACTGTCTAGTTCCATGACATTTCTTAATGTTGGACTATGAAATTCCGCATCACTGGAGTTTAAACAGGATTCATGTACAGAACTTCTCTGACTCATTTCAAGGACAAAGGAAGAATCAGATTCTGCAAGTCCCAGATTGACAAAGATAAATGATTTTTTCTCTCCCAAGATTGTAACTTTTTTTTACTTTTGTTTTGCAATTCATCTAAAGTAAAATGTTGTTCTGTTTGATATGATACCATGGCTAAATTCTGTAAGATGTTACCTGCAACAACTTCAGCATGAGCCGAATTTGATGTTTTAGGAGTAATTATATTAAAATAGGTGGGTGCACCCACAGCACTAGTTGTAGTGCTCTCTGTGTCTTTGTTGGATTTCAAGACAATAGCCATGTGACTGTGACCCTTCTGGAATTGATTCAATATCTCATATAGTGGCCAACTTTCATAAACTCTGTTACACAATTATTAAATGAACAATATCATATAGTTAGTACAGTAGTGACTACTGCATGAATGAAGATCATAAGTTCCAATACATATCTATTGATCTTCTCACTTTTCCATAAAAACAGTTGTTTTACAATTTGTACAACATTAAATAAGGATCTTTTAGTCTCACTGTAACAACATTTTACATCAATAAAATACTTGATATGGTTTCAGGCTTAAGTCTTATAAATGGAAAAACAAGTTCTTCTACAGAGATCAATTATTAGTAAAGTTGTGATACTTCGCACTATTACCATGATGACTAGAAAAAACATCAGTATCTACAATGGTCAGTGATGATGTTAAAGCTGAGATGGAATCTGGCTTTTATTTTCCTGTCAAATTAGCTCTATTACCTTGGAATTTTCCTAATAATCAAATTCTTTATGGGTGTCTCATCTTCAGGGCGGCAGAATATCAAGTTTTTAACCTGTAGAAAAAGAATTAATAGTTCTACTATATGAATACAAAATACTAAGCAATGTTGAGAAAAAAGCTAATGTACTGCAACTAATAACATTGTCTCAAATGTCATTGGAAGCTTTCTCTTTTGCCTTTATTAATTGATATGAACATAATGATAATTCTATACTTTCCAAGTTCATATATTCAAGATTTATCACAGAAAATACTTAAATCCACTATATTTTCCTTCTGTCATTTTGGTTCTTCAATTGCTTACCAATATGAGGCCAATGATACTTCTTGCGTGCCCAGAATGGATTGGTATTCGACTGTGACCTTTGCTCATTATTTGTGTCATTGTATGCCTGATGACAAAGGTGAACTGCATTTATAGATTAAAAATTGGGAGAAAAAGTTTATGTATGTGACTTCAAAGTTGAGTTATGACAGATTACATGTCAAGTTTAGAATTTATATCAAGAGAAAAAATTTGAGATATGGGTGTCATTGCATCTTTAGCTGTCTTCTGAGTCAAATCTATAGCACCTGTGATTATAGAAGTTTCATGATGTGACAATTCTCCCCCTNAGGAGTACAACTATCATCAGATACATAACAAGCATGAGCTCTGTTATAAACACAGATAACAGATCTCATAACCTTTTGGCATTGGCTTGCAGACATGGAATTCATACATCAACATAAAATTAATTTACAGATTAATGTAAATCTTATTTTAGAAGGTGATTTATGAAGTTGAATTAATTTACAGATGAATATAAATCTTATTTTAGAAGCTGATTTATGAAGTTGAGTCAAATTATTGTAAGGCCAATACTACTAAATGTTATCACTTAGAAATTAGACTTCTCAAATATTTCACCGATCATAGTAGCAGCTACTGCAACAATCATGGTTCTGACTTCTAAGTACACAATTTAATGCATCTCATACAACATCATTAACCCCTCTGCAGACTTATCTATCTCTTTAATTATGAGAAAGAACTATATATTCTGGAATCATCATAATTCTGAACAATCATTATGACATATGCAGTATAATTAGAACTATGAATACATGGTGATAATTCGAAACTATCTACTTTGCAGCATCTTCTTCCTGCCACATATCTACCCAGTTTTTCTGAATCTGTTCCACCCCAAGAAAAGAACCATCCTTTTCTGCATCCAAACTTGCAGACAGTGCCCCATATGCAATCCCAACAGAGGAAGCTCCAAAAGTCAAAAAAGCAGTCATAAAGGCTAGCCACCGTGGTGCATCATACACTTGGTTTTCCCTAAGCACCCCAAAAATGTGCATGAACATCAACCCCAACCCCATTGGCACCCCCACACAGAACAAAATCCTACGTATTATCCTGTAAATAACTGTGCTGGGAAGCTCATCATCAGCATCCTCATCATCAATGTTTTTCCTTCTAATAGGCCTCTCATTGGAATCCTTTCCTACGGTTGGAGGAGTGGAAGAAAAGCCTTTGGCGCTAGCATAAGGCTTTAATGTGCAGAAGGGGTGGTTGAGCTTTTGTGTAGGGTAAGAAGCTGGGAAGTTTGGTCTGCATGGAGAAAGTTTTGAGAGAATGATAGAAGAGTTTGGTGCACAAATCAGAGTTTTCATGGCTTCTCTTGCTGTGTTTGGTTGTTCATCATGCTTGGAGTGAGATATTTTATTCACGTATATCTTATCCATAAAGTAAATGGTTGGTCATGAGCCTCATCATCTCTCTCATCATCGTTTGGGATATTTGTTATAATGCTACGGATATTTTAAATATATTTATTAAGTTTCACACATATCAGTTAAAATTTTTTACAGGGTCAACACATTAAAAGCAAATATTATGTCATAAACAATAATTAAATGAAAATGTAAACAACTTTTCCAATGAATTGAATTTTATTGTATTGATATTTGAAAATCAAAACCATGATGTTGTGAAGATAAGGAATCTTCATGTCACTGAGACTGAACAAAATAAATAGTAGAAAGTTCTTTATCGATGACCAGAACCAGAAGCCCTCCATGATGATCTTGATTGTGACTTAAGTGACTGCAGCAGATTGATTCTAATGCTGAAAATAAGAAAAATTGAAGCATGGTATCTGTCAATTGCTGTAAATTTATTTGGGGGAAGCAGAAATGAAGGAGGTAATATCAAAATTCAATGCAAATTTACTCACTTCTTTTGAACGTGAACATATTCATCAGTTTCATCCAATATGTCTTTCTTGTAAATGAAAAAAGTAGATAGCAATCAGCATTGTAAAACATGATAAGTTTGATGTTTCAAACAATGATGAAACATTTCACTAAACTCCTATGAATCAAATTGGTTAGTTAATAGCTAAAAAGTTTAAGAAATTAAACGGCAAAATCAACACTTTGAAGTGTATTCTGCATTATTGACAGTATATTATAAAACCCATTCTAACCTGTAACAGTTCCTCCATGACATCTTCCAATGTGATGATGCCAATAACCTCTTCATCTATAACATCTGGAAGAGAATCTATTTGTTCCTGTGAGAAATATTCATTTTCTTGACTCGCTTCACTGTCTAGTTCCATGACATTTCTTAATGTTGGACTATGAAATTCCGCATCACTGGAGTTTAAACAGGATTCATGTACAGAACTTCTCTGACTCATTTCAAGGACAAAGGAAGAATCAGATTCTGCAAGTCCCAGATTGACAAAGATAAATGATTTTTTCTCTCCCAAGATTGTAACTTTTTTTTACTTTTGTTTTGCAATTCATCTAAAGTAAAATGTTGTTCTGTTTGATATGATACCATGGCTAAATTCTGTAAGATGTTACCTGCAACAACTTCAGCATGAGCCGAATTTGATGTTTTAGGAGTAATTATATTAAAATAGGTGGGTGCACCCACAGCACAAGTTGTAGTGCTCTCTGTGTCTTTGTTGGATTTCAAGACAATAGCCATGTGACTGTGACCCTTCTGGAATTGATTCAATATCTCATATAGTGGCCAACTTTCATAAACTCTGTTACACAATTATTAAATGAACAATATCATATAGTTAGTACAGTAGTGACTACTGCATGAATGAAGATCATAAGTTCCAATACATATCTATTGATCTTCTCACTTTTCCATAAAAACAGTTGTTTTACAATTTGTACAACATTAAATAAGGATCTTTTAGTCTCACTGTAACAACATTTTACATCAATAAAATACTTGATATGGTTTCAGGCTTAAGTCTTATAAATGGAAAAACAAGTTCTTCTACAGAGATCAATTATTAGTAAAGTTGTGATACTTCGCACTATTACCATGATGACTAGAAAAAACATCAGTATCTACAATGGTCAGTGATGATGTTAAAGCTGAGATGGAATCTGGCTTTTATTTTCCTGTCAAATTAGCTCTATTACCTTGGAATTTTCCTAATAATCAAATTCTTTATGGGTGTCTCATCTTCAGGGCGGCAGAATATCAAGTTTTTAACCTGTAGAAAAAGAATTAATAGTACTACTATATGAATACAAAATACTAAGCAATGTTGAGAAAAAAGCTAATGTACTGCAACTAATAACATTGTCTCAAATGTCATTGGAAGCTTTCTCTTTTGCCTTTATTAATTGATATGAACATAATGATAATTCTATACTTTCCAAGTTCATATATTCAAAATTTATCACAGAAAATACTTAAATCCACTATATTTTCCTTCTGTCATTTTGGTTCTTCAATTGCTTACCAATATGAGGCCAATGATACTTCTTGCGTGCCCAGAATGGATTGGTATTCGACTGTGACCTTTGCTCATTATTTGTGTCATTGTATGCCTGATGACAAAGGTGAACTGCATTTATAGATTAAAAATTGGGAGAAAAAGTTTATGTATGTGACTTCAAAGTTGAGTTATGACAGATTACATGTCAAGTTTAGAATTTATATCAAGAGAAAAAATTTGAGATATGGGTGTCATTGCATCTTTAGCTGTCTTCTGAGTCAAATCTATAGCACCTGTGATTATAGAAGTTTCATGATGTGACAATTCTCCCCCTTTCCCTGCCTGCATGTGAATACTTTAGAAACTAATCTCATACATGTGATTAAGTTAAGCAAGAGAGAATATACTAATTAAGAGGAAAACCTCATTTGCATGTAAGTCCACAAATGTCTTCAATTCTGATCTTCTGAGAAGAACTGAATGTTCTTTCCCTAGACCCCAATCCAGCACCTACCAAAATAGAACAATACTAAAAGATATTAATTAAATTTTCTAAAAATATGAGTTTTACAGGAAAATCACCTGATATTGATATATACTCATGAGTTTTTTCCTTGAGAAACTGAAATAAATGTGTCTATGCTCTAATTCTATATATTTCTTTAGCTTTTCATTTTGTGCATATAACCATGAGTTGCACAATGAAGCAGTTCTGTTGCAATAAATCATCAATTACAAATGCATTGCATGACAATGACATTGAATAACAAAATAAATACGAAACAAACACAACTATAACATATACTTTACCTTACTAGCAGGATAGGTTATAGGGAAGAAGATCAGCAGAAGCAGTTGAACAAGGGGAGCCATTTTTGCTCCTAAAGTCAGTCCATGTCGAGAGCATATAGCTTGAGGTAAAATCTAAGATGATAAATGTAACATGAGTTAGTTTAAGAAAAAAAAATTCCTTATTTCAACATGTTTGTTTGTGCATCTTTCAAAACAAACATTACCTCTGCAAACACAGTCACCAAGGGTGCCGACATGAGAATAGTAAACCAAGAAGGGATGATTGAGTCCATAAAAATTGGCAATGCCTTGAACAAGAAGAATTAGAATCGCATTTTTTGTAAATTTCAACAAAATCATGTATAGTACCTTCATTTAACAACTAAAAAAAATTGTTTTTCCCCAAGAATGTTATTAGACCCTTCTTGCAAGATCATAGGGCATGCAAGTAGATTGAGTATTTGCTTAATCAGCAATTCAAGTCAAAAGGGATTTTGTCTAAAGGAACATCAAGGAGAAATAAAGGACAAACCAATATAATTACTTCAATATCTAGTACATGTGCTTCTTTAAGTTTAATAGCCACATCAACTAATTTCATGTGCTATATAAAACATACCTCCATAGCCAGTGATTTTCCTAGAAGAAGGGTACACAGGACAAAATGTCCATTCTTTACCAAAGGTCTAATCCTTTCTGCAGATAAAGTAAGATAGTAATACCAATTATGATAAAGATCTTAAAGCTGCATAATGTAGTGACATGTGTTCTGATGGTAACCTGCATTCTTTCTGTCTTTTGGAAGACCTGCCTTAATGAGGACCTCAAGATCAACTAGGCTGAAGGACAGTAGTCCTAGAGCAAGGCCAGATGCAATGCCTGCCAGAGCCACCAACAATAGACATACCGTAAAATAGCCCCAAAAGTCAAGATCACAACATGGGAACTGATATTCTTTCATTGTGTGAATATATCAAGTGTACTAATGTTGTGATGTATGGTGAAATATGTATCCATATTTATTGAGTGGTTTATCCAATGGCTTGGAATTTGAAGAGAACTGGTCATGAGTACTTGTGTAAGAACATCATGACAATGAGGAAGAAGATAGAAGATAGATACAAATAACATTCGGCTCAAAGACTCTGTGAATGGAGATTCTGAGATAAAAATGGCATCAGAATGGAATGAAGTACAGGAATGTCACTATATATTAACAAAGACTATTCTACATCAACACCAACCCTTAAAAGATTTATTTTAAGTACTCAAACATGCACATTTTTTATTAAAAGGATACTATTTTGTATGTAAGATAAATTGTTTTTCTATTCTTATACTTTCAGTTTTTAAAAATCAAATTATAAAGATTAGTGTATCAACAAAACATATAAGAATGTTATATGCTAATCAGAATTGTAGTTTGACAGGAGGAATGGATTGGATTTCTTAAACAGCAGACAGCAAAGAATGATTTGATCCCTCAAATGCTTTTTGCTAAAGTGAAAGACAAAGAAGGAAAACAAAGTTTAGGGCCTGGTGGAGATATCATAGTGAAGAATTTGATTAGAAAATAAAACGAGACAATGATTGAGGGGTTGAAAAGGAGATTATAGATACAAATAATGATGTAAGGTAAATCTTAAATGTTTAAGCAATAATTTATTTCCCACTTTTTGTTGTTGGCCAAAGGAACAAACCTACGACTCAGCATTGTAGCTATACTCCAATTAGTGAAGACAACTCCTCACTAAGTTTTAATTTATTCATGATGGTTGACCAGAAGCATTAAAATTCCAATAATATATATGAAATTTGATTAGAACCAATGGAAGGTTGCTTATACGAAGTTTGATTAATAAATATAAAGTGGCTTGAAATACACGGTAAGAAGTTGTTTGCTTACCAAGGACGGCCTTAGAAAATTAGCTTAGTTTCTCTTTGAAAGAAGAAATTATTATCTAATTACAAGAAAGTAAACTTTTTGTACATTGTTTCTGTAGATAAATACTTTGGAGAAATCTCTTCACACACTCATTTTTTCTTCGGTTTTCAACTTCTGCTATAACAACACAGTAAAACTGATGGGGAGGGACATGATCAGTGAGTTGCCTGACACCCTTTTGCTCCACATAATGAGTTTCATGAACCCAAAATATGCTGTTCAGACTTGTGTCTTGTCTAAAAGATGGAATCACCTATGCAAACGACTCATCAATCTCACATACTCTCCTATTCCAGATCTCCTGAAGAAAATTGGGGTTGAAAGGTTTAAGAAATTTGCATCCTGGGTCTTGTCTACACGAGATCACTCATGTTCCCTGCATAATCTTAGTCTTCGCCGTTGTTGGACAGAACCTGAACTCTTAGACAAGATCATTAAATATGCTTTGTTCTGTAATGTTCAGCAGTTGATTTTAGATGTGTATTCAGGCTTTAGACCTGATTTTGAGTCACTCCCTTTAATCTTTTGTTCTCGGTCTCTGACATCTCTTGAGCTTTGCATGGCATGGAACTATGCTCTTATAGTACTTCCAGAATCTCTCCACATGCCAGTATTGAAAAACTTGCATCTTCAAGGTGTAAGATTTACAGCAAGTGACAAGGATTCAGCCGAGCCCTTTTCAAATTGTCACTCGTTAAACACTTTAGTCCTTAGATACTGTTGTTTGAAAGATGATGCAAAGGTGCTTTGCATATCTAATTCTACCCTTTCTAGTTTCACCTCATGTGAAGGACAGACTTACCAAATTCTGCTTTCTACTCCAAATCTTAGTTTTTTCACCATCAAGGGTTCTGCCACTCACCAACTCTTCTCCACATGCAATCTTTCTTTTCTTGAAGCAGTAAATATTGACGTGTCTTGGGATGGACGTTGGGCTGAGAAAAGTTCAATCATCAGTTCAAACATCATGAGATGGCTGCAAGTGCTTGCCAATGTAAAGAAACTGACCTTTACTTCTTGGTATCCCTTTCAAATTATGTTACATGTAAGTTACTGCAGCAGGTTTTTCCTTTATTTTGTTCTCGATGTTCATATCATTTTTGCATTCATATGTCAGAATTTGGGCCTGCTTTCAATCTTGCATTTCAAATTTCCATGTTTTGATTGTGTAGGATTTCTCTAATCCCATTTCAGTGAGACCTGAACCTCCGAGCTTAGTAAGATTGGAGTCACTGAAAGTGTTTAAGCCTTTCTCTGTAGACGTATCTGATGAGGAAGTAAACACAGTAGTGGAATACTTGCTTCGGGGCTCTCCAATGGCCAAAGTTCACATCACAAGAAGGGCTTAATTGATATACATATACTTTCTTGTTTTGGTGGAGAATTTTAGAGACTACCCAGTTTTTGTCTTTCTTATATGCTTTCTTTCTCCTTGTCCAAAATATTCCCTTGTTTGCAACGAATGGTAGAGATTTTTGTTTTATTTAGTTTGGACGAATGTAAAGTTCTAAATATTTAATAAACTTCTACTCTCCAAAAATAAATATCTATTTTTATTATAGTAGGTGATACAATAAAGTTAATTTGATAAGAATATTTTGTTAATCTTTTGAAAATGAAAACAAGAGGGAAAATCATAATAATTGAAACTTGATAAAAAAAAATTAAGAGGCCAAAATTATATACAAATAATTTTCAAATAATGCAATGAAAAATATTTGCTCCAAGTCCAATGCAACTCTTAAAGTAAACACAGTGGTTGTGACGTGAGCTTCAAATCCTACAATAATTGACTGAAATCAGTATAGAAAAATCCAAAGCATGCAGAAAAAAAAAAAGAAACATTTCTTTATGACATTTTACAGCATTTCAATTTTATTTTCCACAGCCTAAATAACTGCATGAGGTTGTAGTTTTTTGACACCTTGATAGTTCTTTACCAAAGGATAAAGATAAAGTGTCAAAGGAAAAAGCAAAAGAAGAAGAACTGGCAGGTATATATCTACAAGTCCTTTTGCTTTCTTCCCTTCTGTACTGGGACCAAAATCAATTTTGAAACATTTTTCCTCTTTTGTGTTTCATAAACACTTGGTGAAAACAATATACATAAGCATCAATTACTCATCTTTTGACTCATCACCATCTCTTACAACAAAAACTATATAAAAGGTTTCTATTAACGTACACAAAAGTCTGTTTTATTCTATTTGTTTAATAAGAAGTTTATCTAAACACATTCTACCTTTTTAATAACCTAAGCATGTTGTTATTAAATTACTCTAACATTCTTCATCAGAATCTTCCACCACTGAACATCTTTTTCTTTTCAACACCACAAGTTTTCCCGCTCTTGGAAAGAAAACCAGTTACCATATATATATATACTTACAACACTTACAGCATCACAGTTCACAGATTTTCCAAGTTCATCCACCATGGGAAACTGTTTATTGGGAGGCATGTCAGATCCTGAAGTAATGATCAAAGTCACAACATCTGATGGTGGAATCATGGAATTCTATGCTCCAATTACTGTGAGTTTCATCACCAATGAATTCCCGGGGCATGGCATATTCCTAAGTCATGAACTCTTCTGCAAACCACTTAGCCAATTTGATGAGTTGGTGGCTGGACAGTCATACCACCTTCTGCCACTCAACAACCAACCGGAACACCCTCCGGCCACCGTCAGCGAAGACAACTGCGCCGCCATTCGACAAGGGCATGTTCGTTCTCATAGTGTTCCTACTACCCCCTACCCTCCTCCTTACAGAATGTCCTTGGACTACCAACACCACCAAGGAATGAGGTTTCTCAACAAAACTTCTATAGAACCTTTCTCTTGTAGGACTAGTACTAGTAATAGTACCAGTAAATGCAGCATTGTTACTAGCGCTGGCAGTAAAAGTAGCAGGTTTTGGAAAGTGAAGTTGGTGATAACTCCTCAAAAGTTGATGGATATTTTGTCACAAGAGGCTAGAACCAAGGAGTTGATAGAGAGTGTTAGGATTGTAGCCAAATGTGGGGTTTCTGCAGGTGGCATTTTACCTGCATCTGCTGCAGCAAGCATAGTGTCTGATCAGTGGAGCCTCTCCAGCAGTGGTAGGAGTGCTTGTGATTCCTCTAAGATTGATGCATTGGTGGTTGACATTTAGTATAATGCATGAAAAGATATGCAACCAAGTTTCACTCTTTCTTTGTCTTTACACTTGTATTTTTGGTTACTTAGCTCCCCTTTGTCACTGTCATATGTTTCTCTGTTGATTTTGTATCCTTGTAAAAGTTCAGTTTAGAGACGTTCTGTCATATGATATTGTATAGTGTCTGTGAAGTTGTTGTGTACTTGTGGTGGTGGCATGTCCAAGGCACAAATGTGTGAACCTTTTGCTTTTTTTTTTCACTGTTTGGAAGATTGCCAAATCAAGCAGAATTTTGCTACAGAAATTGAGGACTGAGTGCCAACTGATATAGTGTATAGCTATTCAAGTTAAACTTCTGCAGAAATGCTGCTTAGATTTGAAACTAAAAATGATTAAGTGATATAACAGTGAATGTTACCAACATTTTTGTGAAATTAACATCCTTTTTCCTCTTTTCATGTCGAGTTGCTTATGTTTTAACATATTGCTTTTAATAATGATATTTCTTAGGTTACTTTAAAAAGAATATTAAAAGCACATATTATTGTATGAGATACCACCTTTGTTTTTCAAAGAATACGGTATAAAAACCCAAATAAATAAATAAATATCTACAGTAGCATGTTCTAGTATTCTAAATTTTCTTAGGTTGACCATTTTATTATTCTACCGATTCTATAATTGTTTTCATTAATGTAGTAATTTAATTTATATGTGATTTAATTAAATATCTCAATTTAATATTTTATTATTAAAATCTAGTTATATTATTTAATTATTTAAAAGAAAAAGTGGTTGTGAAATCATTTTCCTTAAACTAACTAGTAAGTGTNTAAGTTTTAATTTATTCATGATGGTTGACCAGAAGCATTAAAATTCCAATAATATATATGAAATTTGATTAGAACCAATGGAAGGTTGCTTATACGAAGTTTGATTAATAAATATAAAGTGGCTTGAAATACACGGTAAGAAGTTGTTTGCTTACCAAGGACGGCCTTAGAAAATTAGCTTAGTTTCTCTTTGAAAGAAGAAATTATTATCTAATTACAAGAAAGTAAACTTTTTGTACATTGTTTCTGTAGATAAATACTTTGGAGAAATCTCTTCACACACTCATTTTTTCTTCGGTTTTCAACTTCTGCTATCACAACACAGTAAAACTGATGGGGAGGGACATGATCAGTGAGTTGCCTGACACCCTTTTGCTCCACATAATGAGTTTCATGAACCCAAAATATGCTGTTCAGACTTGTGTCTTGTCTAAAAGATGGAATCACCTATGCAAACGACTCATCAATCTCACATACTCTCCTATTCCAGATCTCCTGAAGAAAATTGGGGTTGAAAGGTTTAAGAAATTTGCATCCTGGGTCTTGTCTACACGAGATCACTCATGTTCCCTGCATAGTCTTAGTCTTCGCCGTTGTTGGACAGAACCTGAACTCTTAGACAAGATCATTAAATATGCTTTGTTCTGTAATGTTCAGCAGTTGATTTTAGATGTGTATTCAGGCTTTAGACCTGATTTTGAGTCACTCCCTTTAATCTTTTGTTCTCGGTCTCTGACATCTCTTGAGCTTTGCATGGCATGGAACTATGCTCTTATAGTACTTCCAGAATCTCTCCACATGCCAGTATTGAAAAACTTGCATCTTCAAGGTGTAAGATTTACAGCAAGTGACAAGGATTCAGCCGAGCCCTTTTCAAATTGTCACTCGTTAAACACTTTAGTCCTTAGATACTGTTGTTTGAACGATGATGCAAAGGTGCTTTGCATATCTAATTCTACCCTTTCTAGTTTCACCTCATGTGAAGGACAGACTTACCAAATTCTGCTTTCTACTCCAAATCTTAGTTTTTTCACCATCAAGGGTTCTGCCACTCACCAACTCTTCTCCACATGCAATCTTTCTTTTCTTGAAGCAGTAAATATTGACGTGTCTTGGGATGGACGTTGGGCTGAGAAAAGTTCAATCATCAGTTCAAACATCATGAGATGGCTGCAAGTGCTTGCCAATGTAAAGAAACTGACCTTTACTTCTTGGTATCCCTTTCAAATTATGTTACATGTAAGTTACTGCAGCAGGTTTTTCCTTTATTTTGTTCTCGATGTTCATATCATTTTTGCATTCATATGTCAGAATTTGGGCCTGCTTTCAATCTTGCATTTCAAATTTCCATGTTTTGATTGTGTAGGATTTCTCTAATCCCATTTCAGTGAGACCTGAACCTCCGAGCTTAGTAAGATTGGAGTCACTGAAAGTGTTTAAGCCTTTCTCTGTAGACGTATCTGATGAGGAAGTAAACACAGTAGTGGAATACTTGCTTCGGGGCTCTCCAATGGCCAAAGTTCACATCACAAGAAGGGCTTAATTGATATACATATACTTTCTTGTTTTGGTGGAGAATTTTAGAGACTACCCAGTTTTTGTCTTTCTTATATGCTTTCTTTCTCCTTGTCCAAAATATTCCCTTGTTTGCAACGAATGGTAGAGATTTTTGTTTTATTTAGTTTGGACGAATGTAAAGTTCTAAATATTTAATAAACTTCTACTCTCCAAAAATAAATATCTATTTTTATTATAGTAGGTGATACAATAAAGTTAATTTGATAAGAATATTTTGTTAATCTTTTGAAAATGAAAACAAGAGGGAAAATCATAATAATTGAAACTTGATAAAAAAAAATTAAGAGGCCAAAATTATATACAAATAATTTTCAAATAATGCAATGAAAAATATTTGCTCCAAGTCCAATGCAACTCTTAAAGTAAACACAGTGGTTGTGACGTGAGCTTCAAATCCTACAATAATTGACTGAAATCAGTATAGAAAAATCCAAAGCATGCAGAAAAAAAAAAAGAAACATTTCTTTATGACATTTTACAGCATTTCAATTTTATTTTCCACAGCCTAAATAACTGCATGAGGTTGTAGTTTTTTGACACCTTGATAGTTCTTTACCAAAGGATAAAGATAAAGTGTCAAAGGAAAAAGCAAAAGAAGAAGAACTGGCAGGTATATATCTACAAGTCCTTTTGCTTTCTTCCCTTCTGTACTGGGACCAAAATCAATTTTGAAACATTTTTCCTCTTTTGTGTTTCATAAACACTTGGTGAAAACAATATACATAAGCATCAATTACTCATCTTTTGACTCATCACCATCTCTTACAACAAAAACTATATAAAAGGTTTCTATTAACGTACACAAAAGTCTGTTTTATTCTATTTGTTTAATAAGAAGTTTATCTAAACACATTCTACCTTTTTAATAACCTAAGCATGTTGTTATTAAATTACTCTAACATTCTTCATCAGAATCTTCCACCACTGAACATCTTTTTCTTTTCAACACCACAAGTTTTCCCGCTCTTGGAAAGAAAACCAGTTACCATATATATATATACTTACAACACTTACAGCATCACAGTTCACAGATTTTCCAAGTTCATCCACCATGGGAAACTGTTTATTGGGAGGCATGTCAGATCCTGAAGTAATGATCAAAGTCACAACATCTGATGGTGGAATCATGGAATTCTATGCTCCAATTACTGTGAGTTTCATCACCAATGAATTCCCGGGGCATGGCATATTCCTAAGTCATGAACTCTTCTGCAAACCACTTAGCCAATTTGATGAGTTGGTGGCTGGACAGTCATACCACCTTCTGCCACTCAACAACCAACCGGAACACCCTCCGGCCACCGTCAGCGAAGACAACTGCGCCGCCATTCGACAAGGGCATGTTCGTTCTCATAGTGTTCCTACTACCCCCTACCCTCCTCCTTACAGAATGTCCTTGGACTACCAACACCACCAAGGAATGAGGTTTCTCAACAAAACTTCTATAGAACCTTTCTCTTGTAGGACTAGTACTAGTAATAGTACCAGTAAATGCAGCATTGTTACTAGCGCTGGCAGTAAAAGTAGCAGGTTTTGGAAAGTGAAGTTGGTGATAACTCCTCAAAAGTTGATGGATATTTTGTCACAAGAGGCTAGAACCAAGGAGTTGATAGAGAGTGTTAGGATTGTAGCCAAATGTGGGGTTTCTGCAGGTGGCATTTTACCTGCATCTGCTGCAGCAAGCATAGTGTCTGATCAGTGGAGCCTCTCCAGCAGTGGTAGGAGTGCTTGTGATTCCTCTAAGATTGATGCATTGGTGGTTGACATTTAGTATAATGCATGAAAAGATATGCAACCAAGTTTCACTCTTTCTTTGTCTTTACACTTGTATTTTTGGTTACTTAGCTCCCCTTTGTCACTGTCATATGTTTCTCTGTTGATTTTGTATCCTTGTAAAAGTTCAGTTTAGAGACGTTCTGTCATATGATATTGTATAGTGTCTGTGAAGTTGTTGTGTACTTGTGGTGGTGGCATGTCCAAGGCACAAATGTGTGAACCTTTTGCTTTTTTTTTTCACTGTTTGGAAGATTGCCAAATCAAGCAGAATTTTGCTACAGAAATTGAGGACTGAGTGCCAACTGATATAGTGTATAGCTATTCAAGTTAAACTTCTGCAGAAATGCTGCTTAGATTTGAAACTAAAAATGATTAAGTGATATAACAGTGAATGTTACCAACATTTTTGTGAAATTAACATCCTTTTTCCTCTTTTCATGTCGAGTTGCTTATGTTTTAACATATTGCTTTTAATAATGATATTTCTTAGGTTACTTTAAAAAGAATATTAAAAGCACATATTATTGTATGAGATACCACCTTTGTTTTTCAAAGAATACGGTATAAAAACCCAAATAAATAAATAAATATCTACAGTAGCATGTTCTAGTATTCTAAATTTTCTTAGGTTGACCATTTTATTATTCTACCGATTCTATAATTGTTTTCATTAATGTAGTAATTTAATTTATATGTGATTTAATTAAATATCTCAATTTAATATTTTATTATTAAAATCTAGTTATATTATTTAATTATTTAAAAGAAAAAGTGGTTGTGAAATCATTTTCCTTAAACTAACTAGTAAGTGTTATATATATATATATATATATATATATATATATATATATATATATATATATATATGTGTGTGTGTGTGTGGGTGATTTGTATGCAATATTTTAAAAATGACTTAGTTCCATAGGCAATTTTTTTTTATAATATTTTGTGATAATTTTTTTAATTATTGTTTTATGTTTTAGTTAATGTTCAAGTAAAACTTAAAAAATAGTATTTTAAAAATAATAGGGTGTTTATAATACTAAGATTATATTATTTTATCATATTAAAGTGTTTAAATATAAATCTCTCACTTTTTTTAAAATTTTTTATTCTCTAATTTTCTGTTTGAAGATCGAAGACCGTTGGGACGATCTTTTTGACAAGATATTTATTTTTGTCTGATCAATTTTTCAATTGTGTAAGTTGAAATTATGATCTTCTCCTTTTGAGTCAAATTTATACCGACTTGCATGTGACCTTTCTCTTAGTTGCATGTGAGGTTTTGATCTTCTTTATGAGTATTTGATGATCAGTGATTATCATGGTATAATCTGATCATGTATGTGATGTTTTTATGTGTAGATAGAGCATACATATTGTGAGCTTTGAGGTGTGTTGGATATTTTAGAACTTCTTGAGGTTTTCTAACAAGTGAAGGAAGCTAAAGATTTTAGATGTATGCATTATTTTGGTCTTGTTTTGCATTTTCTAATTCAAGTTAATTTTTTTATTTGATGACGGGTAATGATTTTCATTTATTAAATTTGTGAAATGTTGGATGTGTATTTGGATTTAGGTATGAATGAAATTTGTGAATTGACTTTAATTAGGAAATTACCTCAATGCGATTTGATTTGAGCAATCTGAGATTGCTTGAGCTAAGAGCCACAATTTTTATAATTTATGAAGTGTTTAAAACTGTAAAGTAGTTCATGGAATGTAAAATTTATGGTATACTAATATGGCTCTAGGCGCCACTGATAGTGTTGGGCATCATAGAGACAGTGGGTTCTCTGAGTTGGTGTTGATGGCGCTGAAGAGGACTATTAGACGCCACTTGTGCAGGGGTTCTCTAGTTGGTTTGTCACTGGGTGCCACTTCTTGCTGTTGGATGACATTTTCAAGATATTTAAATCTTGGGGGCTCTATTGATGGTTTCGTTGGGCAAGCCTTGGTAAGGCTATGCGAGAAGTAGTGATGGGGGCCACTATGATTGGCGTTAGGCAAAAGCTTTTCAAAGGAACCTTTGGACTCGGTGGTGTTAGGCAGGGTTTTGTGGTGTTGGATGCTATTGTATATAAATTATCTTTTATTGTGTCAAATATTATTATATGTAACTTGGTGATTATTTTAGAATATGTTAAATGTTTTGGACAATATGAACTTGTGGAATATTATAAGGTATGAAATGACTAATAATGATACGGGGATTTCTAGGTAGGAAATCCTTTTGAAGTGTGTTTCATCGTGGATGCATTAAAGTAGAGACACATAATTGAAGTTATCATAAAGATAGAAAAATAAATGATTTAAGAGAATAAAATATTGAATTTTATCCTTTCATAATTTTACTCTTGTAGATAGTTAACCGTAAATTCCTACTTATATACTTAGTTTCACTTTTTTTGTGTTTGTTTTTGATTGTCATTTGCATTTACAAATCTTTTGGATTGTATTGTATTTTTTTATTTTGAATTGTTCTTAGAGTCTTAACCCTATTTTGTATGTGAAATTATTAGATTTAATTAGACAAAAAATGTATTTTTTAAAAAAATAGATAATTATTTAGTCAGCATTTACTCCGACTATCCGTTATGGCCGAATGAGTCAAATCTTTTTGACTCGTCTAACAAATATTGTGTTAAGTTAATTTACTGATATTTTCGTTATTTGTTTATTTTTATTACATTTCATTATATTCTAATGTTTTAGGTTCAGTTTACGTTCAAAATAAATATATTGTTCGTAAAATAAGTATAAAGATATTTTGGTCAACTAATTATTTTGGTTCGATATTTTTCCAATTTTAATATTTTTTAATTAGCTTAACTAAAATCTTTATATTGTTCTTGTACTTCATTCCATTGAATTCTTTTATCACACAATTAATAATTTGTTCTTTATATTTAATTTATTTTGATTATAAGAAAAAAACAAGTATCATCATCTTCTCATTTATTTCTAAAATTAAACCTGGTTATACTTAGTGAGAATTGAATTTAAGATTTTCTTTATTATGATTTTTTATTATTTAGACTAATAATCTTAAAAAGTATTAATTTTAGTAAACAGAAAATGTATAAAATTATTTAATAAAAGTTTTATTTTCTAAACATAAATAAAAGTAGTCCTATGCACAAAGTTCAAGGGAATAACCCATTTAGTTTATTCATGGGGCATGTAAACTCCATATATAACCAATACCTGCTGAAAGAACATGCTACCTTCAACATCAACTTTGAGTCTTTATATTACAGTGAATTAACAATTGGACCACTCTTCAAAATCCTACTCGAGTTACAATTTTTTTATCACATCTTTTCAAAACGACACTTCAACTTAGTACTGCCAAAACTTTGAAATATAAATATATATATATATATATATATATATATATATAAATATAAATATATATATCTATTTTAAATAAATGTAATTGTTCTCAATTGGGGAAGACAGCGCTTTTCGTGTGGAAATGTATTATAAAAACAAATGAGTGATTCACTAGAAACCTTTGTGAAATTTAAAAACACAAAAATAGTATACACCTTTCAACTTAATTTTTTCTTCAATTGTTTAACTTTTTGGGCCTCTACAATACCACAAAACTTTATACCACAACAACTCTCCCAAGAGTTGGAAGTCATTAATTTGGGACCTTGAGTCCTAATGTGGGATACTCCATTTTTTTATATTTAGAAAGCATCTGCAGGCAATGGCATCCTGGTTTTGCTATATTCTGCTTTCTTACTCATGTGTTTCCAATGCTTGTAATTGTTTGTCTTCTCCCATCCAAAGAAAAAATGAGTCCATATTTTGAGGAAAAGGCACCTTGTTGTGGATCTCACTTTTGGGTTTTACTTAGCACTTGTTGGGCTTTTGTGTTATTTGCTGCTATCACATCTGGTCTTGCTCTAGGACTCTTGTCTTTCAGCCAAGTTGATCTTGAGGTTCTTGTTAAAGCTGGGAAGCCTCAAATTCAGAAAAATGCAGGTAGTTCATTGCTTTTTGTTTAGGGTCATTTTCTTCATTTAAGAGTACCTTAACACTCAAGAAAATAAAAGACTTAGCCATGTTCTTTGGGGGGGTATAACAAATTTTAGCAAAAGAAATACAAGAAATTTGGGGTATGAAACTCAACTATTTACTGCTTCATCTTGTTAAGTGATGAAAACATTTCTTTATCTGCAGCAAAGATTATGTCAGTTGTTAAGAATGAGCATTTACTTTTATGCACCCTCCTTATAGCTAAATCTCTGGCACTGGAGGTATGTTAATCAGATCATTTCAAGAACCTTCTTCTGATTTAAAGTAAGCTTCTGCATACTGATTACTAAATGAAAACCAGAACTTTATCTGTGTATCCATATATTATTCCAAATCCAAACATACTTTAAATATATATGCCCTACTGAGATTCAATACCTATCATGCTTATGGTTTGGCACCACTGAACAAAAATTTTGGTTAATGCTGGAAGGGGGTTTTTCTGTTTTTCTGGAGAAAATTTCCCGGAGTGATTTCAGTATTAATGTCCAGCCACCATGTTGCTTATCACTCTTCAGAGGTATAAAAAATTATCTGTACTGTTAATATATTAGTTACTTACATACATACATTGTCACACTATTTTAACTTTTTACTTTCTCATCCAAGAGTTTTATCTCAGATATCCCTCAGCCTTGTGTTCTCGATATGGTTTTAAGAAGTGTTGGAGGCCTCATGTCCTCCCTTTGTTCGAGTTCTTCATTCTGATTTTTCTTCCCAATTGCATATCCCTTAGTAAGGTACTCTTATCTTTACCCAAATAAGAAAAGTTATCAGAAATTTAGTATCTGCAATGAACTAGGACAGCCTTTTTAAGATGTGAAACAAATCTGCAGTGAATTACTGACTCAATCTATTCCAATAAATTATAGACGTGAAGTAGATCAGGGTTTTCAACTTGTAATCTATATCAGGATCATTGCTAAGCTAGTTAGGCAATGTATATTATATATGTGTTCCATTATTGTGAATCACAGCACTCTGAGATATTATCTATTTTGAAATCTGTAAACAAGTCATAGTTTTGTTTTAAGACATTTCGGAAAGATCAGAGGAGAGAATGGTTATTTAAATTGTCCATAATCTTTACTCTTAAATTATATGAGACTAGTGAATATACCATAACAATATATAACAATAACCATTCATTTTATTACTTTTTTACTCTTCATTAGTATTGCAAATTATATCACTTTTTTAGTGTAACCTCTCGTCATTAAATTACATTAAAAAAAATCACTCAACTAAATATTCAACAAATGAAACTCCAAGAAAAAAAGGGCAGATTCCACTAGTAACATATCAATAAGATAAACAATATAAGCCTAAATG